CAATCTACTTTTCTCAGCATGCTCTTTATGTGTACCACAGGGACCTTATCTCCCTCTGCAGTACATAGGGAGCTGGATTGGACCATTTTGATTGACTGATCCTCTATTATTGCCCAACCAGGTGGCTTCTTTCAAATGCTTCTTCCAGTGCTGAAATGTTCCTCCACCCATTGCTTTCAACATGGTTTTTAACAACCCATTCAATCTTACCAGAGGCTGATGCATGACAGGGGACCAAGCTGATTGACAGCAGGAACTGAACCAAATAAGGATAGGAAGAATCACAGGCAAAGGCTCTTCTCAACATCACTGAGCAAAAGCAGTAATATATTAGAGTGATAGCACCTTGATGCTCTCTCCATTTCTGTCTAAAATTGAATGAAAATGATTTTCTTATTCTTACAGAAAAAATATTTTTTATACCTCATCTGCTTTTTCTACTAAAATGAATACAGTGGCAGCTTATATGTGACAGGCACGGTCATCCACGGCTTTCATGCACTGGGATAAAACAGCACTTGTAGGATCCATTTGGGCCATTTCTTGGTCTCTGAATGAGGCATAAGTACCTCTGACTGAAAAACAAATCATCCTCTGTGCTTCAGTTCCATTATGACTTCATGGTAGGTCCATTATGGCTCATTATAAACAGAAGCACTTGACCAAAGTAACCTACACGAAATCTTATATTATTCTAGTTTGTTTAAAGCCGCGTCTGCATCCTTCGCAAGATGTATCCAAGTCCATGTTTTCAGAGCTATTTTATGTTCTGCACTTCTTCTGATTCCAACATAAGTTGAACTTTACAGAATCACGAAATAGTACAGGTTGGAAGGCATCTTTAGAGATTATTGGTCCATCACCCCTGCTAAAAGCAGGTTCCCTACAGCAGGTCACACAGGTGGGCATCCAGATTGGTCTTGAATATCTCCAGAAAAGGAGACTCCACAATATCTTTGGGCAGCCTGTTCCAATGCTTCATCACTCTGATAGTAAAAAAGTTCTTCCTTGTGTTGGTATGGAACTGCCTGTATTTCAGTTTCTGATCACTGCCCTTTATTCTGTTGCTGCACACCATCAAAATGAGTCCACCTCCACTGACTTTTCTCTCCTACTTCAGGCATTTATAAACATAAATGAGATCCCCCATCAGCCTTCTCTTCTCCAGGCTGAACAGTCCCAGGTCTCTCAGTATTTCCTTGCACAGGAGATACTTCAGGCTCCTAATTGCTCTGAATTAGACTCATTCTAGGAGCTGATGAAGATGTGGAAGAAGACGTTACTACCCCATGCTGCATGTATTGGTGTACAGGCACTTCAAGGAAACAGGGTGAAGATATCCCTAGAGGGGTACAAGATTTCCTGTAGGCATATCTTCAGGTTCTTGAGGTGGCTAGTCTTCTGGTTTTTGTCATCGGAGGCAGTTAAAGAACATTTGTTACTCTTACGGATGTCATAGCTCCTTCTCCATTTGATTGCAATGGCTTGAGCATTGCCATCATGGACCCTGCCCCCTACATTCTCCACTTTAAAGTATGCCTCGCTAGGTTAGCCAGCTTGTTGCCTCTTCTAAACAGGTGGAATCCACTGCACCCTACAAGATATTAATAGAAGATCCCATTATAGTAAAAACCAAAACTTTCAGAGTGGCACCAGCACTTTGGGTACCATTCTCTACGTTAAATAATCATTTGAATTAATTAGAAAACATATATATGAGGTGAGTGTGATGCCAGTGACTAACAGGGTTCATATGCATGTGCTCATAACTTTGAATGTTAAAAGGGAACAAATTGCAAGCAAAGAAAGAAAAAACTCAGAGGCAAGCAAACTGTGTAATTCTTGTGGTGTTGATGAGAACAAATTGATGGACAAATACCTATAAAGCAGTTATGTTGTGCAAATTGCTGCACTGACGTAGAACAACCAGTGTAGCAGGATGTGCCGTGTCAGTATCAGGGTAGTGCTCCACGAATGATGATGTATATGATAGAAGAAAGGAATAGCAGAATTTTTTTTTAAATTTACACTAAATCCTCAATATTTCAGTGTTTGAAATGCTTACAAAAGTGCATATGTATTCAAGTTTGTTTGTTGATTCCTCTCTTTGCTGAGTATGAATTATGGCTACGTAAAAAAATTATCAATTTCATTTATCTGAACCACTTCTTAATTACAAGGAAAGTTAAGGTGTGATACTTGCTTTTTTTTTTTTTTTTTTATTTTTTATGTGCCATAGTAGAAAATTTTGTGAAAACATCAGGCATTTGGTAAAAAAGGAGTAGCAGAAGCACAAGCACCAAGTTTATATCTATCACTATTTAGAACTCAATAATAGAATATAGACTAGCTTCCAGAAATATTTTGCTTTTTGATGGCCAAAACAAACACCACTTGAAAAATTCTGTTTTATGTGTAAAGAAAATTGTTTTGAACATATAGGTGCTTTGTCTCACCATAATAAAGGAAAAGTAAATGTCAGATAAGACAATACTCTTCCACTCCCTAGGACTTTTTAGGATTCCAATTTGTATAGGTGCAGACTTCAGGACATTAGCTAACATGTCTGACTCTATTTTGTTTTAGGGTATTTTCTTTCCCATTTTTAGAAATAGTATGGTTAATATTCTTAGGAAACAAACACAATACAGACAAAGGTTCCCAAACCATATTTTCATTTAAACTTTATTTCTTATGTTTAAAACACTACTGGAAACATAGAAGCTTGTAGGCACAAACAACTTAATATCCAGAGTTTCTGAATAAAATATTTGCTAATGAAATCACATTGATTCATTTTCATGAAAACTACATAATTTAATACATCTCATATACATACAAAATTCATGTGTGGTAAAGATTTATTTTGTCTAAACATCTGGGTGCTAAAATCCACTGCAGATCTTACATTTTAAATGTTGTATCTCTTCTGTATGTTTTAAATAGATTATTATACGAATATTACAGCTTCAAAGAAAACCAACTTTTAATAAAGCTGTGTATTTTCTTCATATTTTTTCTTGAATTAAAGGAAAAAAAAATAGATAAGTAATAACATAACAAATGTGTAATCTAGAAGTATAAACTAGAATAAAAATACAAGGGTAAAAATATGTTCTTTTTTGTGTCTATGTTCCATGAGGAATATTACTTCTCTACTGGCCTTGGTTTGATACATGTAAGTCTACAAAACAGTCCACGACCTATTATGTAACAGGAGAAGAATTAACTGGGAATTAGAAGAAATGGTCCTTAAGTGTAATAACTGGTAACTACTTGCTATATTTCCTGCTTCTACATACACTTTTTTCTTTCTATGAGGCACATTCAAAAAAAAGCCAAAATCTGAATTTCAGTTTGCAATGTATTTACAGGCATTACATTTTGAGTCTAATTCAGATCCCCTGTATTCTACTTCTGCAAGATTCTTCATCATACAAATAATTCCCCCAGTTAAAGTAACAGTACTAAAAGGACTGCTTCTTTACATAGCCTTGTCTTGTTTCTGCTTCTATAGTTATTCCATGCTGACCACTTAGAAGTGGACCAAGCACAGTGTCCTTAGGCACCAGTCTGTTAATGTCAGTGGGAGATCTCTGCAATGCTAACCCCACTGTATGACTCGCCATTCCCAACTGTGGTCATTCTTTTGACTTTCCAGTTCTGCTAGTGGATTCCAGTGCAGTAAAGATATGTGTATTTGCTTACAAATAGAGTATATGTATAAACATGTAGAAAACATGTACTAAAGATAGTTTTGCATCCCTGATCTGAAACAGTGTTTGATCTACTGACACACTGAGAAGGAGAAGATGCACGCAGCCACATAAGCTATACCGAGCTTCTTTATATATTTTGGAAACTCAGAATCTGAAGAGGCAGTCTGAGCAAAGGCAGACAGCACTTGAGTGGGACTGGAGAGATCTGCTTTTCTTCCTGAGTCTGTCACTATTGGGTAATTTATGAACTCTTCTTCTCTTTGTGCCTCAGATTCACCACCTGCAAATTTAAGGTAATGATTCTGTCTTCTGTATAAAGTGCTTTGGAATTAATGGAGAATAAGCATTGCTTAAGAGGGAAATTTATCACTAAGGAAGAGCCTTAGCCTTTTTTCTTTCTTCACTTTTCTAAGGAAATAAACACAAAAACTGTCTTCTTTGAAATCAGTAGGAGGTTTACACTTGATAATAATGCTGCCAGAACCTTTTCTGTGTGAATGACAGAAATTCTGCTCCTTCAGAGACAGCATTAACAGCAATTCTTGCTCAAAGACATGTAACTATCACCCTACCTATGAAATGTCTACACTTTAGTAGGTAGAAGGTAAGCAGTAGCTTTGAGAGCAACAAGGTAGCAATTTTCAATGTAAATGCTGTATTTGAATAGCTCTAAGACATTCATAATGCAACAGCATGCATATAATAATACTAGTACTAGAATACATTTTCCTATAGTATGATTTTGACACAGAAGTTTCCTAAAAATATGTTTTGTTTGTTTTAATAGGTCAAAGAAATTTGTGAAGTATAAATTGTAGTTTATACAGTTCCTGTGTGTCCTCTAAGAAATGTATGTGCTTCTTTTATATTTGATGTTATTTGCTATCAATGGGAAACAAACTTTAATCTTCCCTATTAAAAAAAAAAAAAAAAAAAGCTTAGAGAGACATCCAGCAAAACTCATATTTTGGACATTTATCCCCTTCAAAATGTTTTAAGAAGTATTCCATGACAGAGTAGTTGAATGATTTCCCTTCCCTTCCCTTCCCTTCCCTTCCCTTCCCTTCCCTTCCCTTCCCTTCCCTTCCCTTCCC